CCTGGTCCTGCTGGCCACACTATTCTTGATACAAGCCAGGATGCCATTGGCCCTCTTGGCCACCTGAGCACACTGCTGGCTCATGTTCAGCCGGCTGTCGACCAACACCCCCAGGTCCTTTTCCTCCAGGCAGCTCTCCAGCCACTCCTCCCCCAGCCTGCAGCGTTGCATGGGGTTGTTGTGACCCAAGTGCAGGACCCAGCACTGAGCCTTGTTGAACCTCACACAGTTGGCCTTGGCCCAACGATCCAGCCTGTCCAGGTTCCTCTGCAGGGCCTTCCTACCCTCCAGCAGATCGACACTTCCACCCAACTTGGTGTTGTCTGCAAACTTACTGAGGGTGCCCTCGATCCCCTCGTCCAGATCATCAGTGAAGATATTGAACAGGACCGGCCCCAACACTGAGCCCTAGGGAACACCACTTACAGCCGGGTCTTGTTTTGGTTTTTTATTTTATTTGGCTGACCTTGGCCCGTGATGGGAAGGTGTCTGTTTCCCTCCTGACCCATCTCATGCTAAGCGCCTCTTTGCTCTCTGCCATTTCTTTTTTGCCTCTCAGGAGCGGGAGTCCCTCAATGCCAACATTGTGGATGCCATCAACCAGGCTTCAGACTGCTGGGGCATCCGGTGCCTGCGCTACGAGATCAAGGACATCCATGTACCCCCGCGCGTGAAGGAGTCCATGCAGATGCAGGTTTGGTTTCCCTGGGAGGGCAGACTGGAACAAGAGGGAAGTCTCTCCTTCCATGCCGCTCCGTTGTTATCCATCCAGAGCTGGCAGCACCAACCCCTCCTGTGGTGAGGGAAACCCATTGGTGCTTTGGCTGCAAACGTACAGCTGTTGAATAAATAATTCCTGTCCTTATTTTGGTGATGGTGGCCCCTGCTTGCTACACGCAAGCCCTGCTAGCTCCCTTTAAAATCCCTACTGGGCTCTGTAGGAATCCCAGAGCTGAAGGTCTCCTCTTGAGAAAAGCCAGGCACCAGATCTCTGGGTGGGAAGGGGAGGAGGGGGAAGCGTCTGTCTGGTTAAGTGTGGACAGGGCTGTGCAGCGTGGGGAGCGGGAGCAGGACCAGCCCTCACCAGGAATCACGCTGTGTTTTCTAGCTGCGTGCTCATCCTCTGCTAAGCCACACTTGCCCAAGCGAGACGTAGGAGCGTGTCCTCGCTGCGCTTGCCCCCCGGATGGGCTTTCCCCGGCGCGGCCGTGGCAGGTGGGTGTCTGACCTGTGTTTGCAGGTGGAGGCAGAGCGACGGAAGCGGGCGACGGTGCTGGAGTCGGAGGGGACGCGGGAATCGGCTATCAACGTGGCTGGGGGCGACACGCCGGTGCCCTCAGCATGGCCGTGGCATGTTGGCATCTGACCTGTGTTTGCAGGTGGAGGCAGAGCGACGGAAGCGGGCGACGGTGCTGGAGTCGGAGGGGACGCGGGAATCGGCTATCAACGTGGCTGAGGGGCAGAAGCAGGCCCAGATCCTGGCATCGGAAGCTGAGAAGGCCGAACAAATCAACAAAGCTGCTGGTAGTGCCTTGGGCTAGAACGTGTGGGGCCTGGGGGATCTGCAGCCCTCTGCACTGAGGGTGATGCTCCCAGGGAGAGACCGCATCGCTGTCTGCGGGCCAGGCTTCCTCAGCCACGCTGATACTTCCCTGCTGGGGCCTCCAGCTCATGCTGCTGCCCCGCAGCCTGGGGCGGCAGGAGGTGTGCGGCAGGAGCATCGCCCTGCTGCTGCTGGGGAAGAGAGGCTTTGTGTGCCTGAAGTTGTCTTGATTTGTTCCTTGGAATTGTCTTGGTTCGCTCCTTGTAAGCGCTTTGTGGCGGTTCTGATGGGCGTTGTGCTGCGGTTCGTTGCAGGAGAAGCCAACGCCATGCTGGTCAAGGCCAGGGCCAAGGCGGAGGCCATCCAGCTCCTGGCAGCTGCTCTGGCACAGCAGGTGAGCGACGGCTCCTGGGGGGCGGCGCCAGGGGGGCCG